AAACTGTAATTAGACGGACAAACCACTTTTCGACCAGTTTTGCAGGTATAAAACACCCGTTCACTTTGCGGTGCGACGGACAATAACAAAATCGCTCGCTTGAAACAAAACGATGACGCGCGAGTGGTCGCCTCGCGGCGGCAGGCAGCATAGCATATGCAGTCCCCACCAACCAGTCGTCATACAAGAGAGAGGCTCCACTGCGCGCACGGGGGGGACTCCATTTTCCATTCTGACCGCCGACATTAATCCACAGGCAGGCCACACAATAACACACCACCACACCCCCGAGGTCATGCGAGCAGCGCCCGCCCCGCCCCGCCCCCGCGCATTCACACCACCCGGCCAATGAGCCGCGGCAGTGCGACACTTGCATGTGCGGCGCGGCGGTGCGGCGGCACAAAGGCCTTGATAAGCGCCCGCCATGAATCACGGGCCCGATAAGTTAAAGCCCTGGCTGTTGTTCGGGGCTTAGAGCTGCCCCCATTCGGGCTGCTGCTGGGGTTGCTCTTTGCTCGCTCCGCTCGCCCTCTCACTCGCTCGCTCTCTTACTTGCTCGCTCTTTCTCTTGTGTGCTCGCTGCTCGCTTCTCTCTCTCTCCTTCCTGCGGACAGTCTAATCCCGAAGGGGGATCCCCTGTACTTACCTGAACTGGCCGCGTGGTGGCGGGCGTGCTCGCCGCCGCATGGTCGCCGCCGCCGCCCGACGCGCTGCTGCTGCTGCTGCCCCCGCACCCGCCGCCACCGCCCCACATGCCGCCCCCGCCCGGGGGTGGGTCGGGGGGCGTGGCGGGCGTGGGCGCGGGCGGGCGGGGCTGGCGGTAGGCGGGCAGCGTGAGCATCGAGGCCACGGACAGCCGCGCGGGGATGGTCCGACGGAAGCAGCTCCCGTCGGGCAGGTCGCCGCCGTCAGCTGTCGGGGGGCAGAGAAGAGTGGCCGTCATGAAGTATTCACACTGCGACAGGCGCACGGGTCACGGAAAAAGGAACACACACCGCCACACAGGACGTCGTGACGTAACAAGCAGCAGAGTCACCTGTGGGCAGCGACGGCCCCTGTCACACATAGTCGCACAGAATGTGCCGGACGGCCCCTGTCACACATAGTCACACAGAGTGTGCCGGACGGCCCCTGTCACACATTAGTCAGTCGCACGCAGAGTGCTGGACGGACGGACGGCCCCCCGTTTGTCGAGTATGCGGGTGACGACAGGGGCAGCCTGTACGATTAGCCGCCGCCATAAGAAATAAAGTCACGTACACGGCAAGGCTGTGAAGTTGGCGGCGCGCATTAACGAGTTTCTCAAACATGCCGAAGTTTTATCCCCCCAAAGCTGAGCCCGGCGCGCACGCGGTTCTTTTCTCGGGGAGCGCGCCGCGCCTGCCCTCCGCCTCGGGTTTCACGGCGGCGGCGGCGGCGGCGGCCGAGGCAGGTGACGCAAAACCCGAAACTTCCCTCATCCTCGCGCAAAAGCGGCGGCGCGGCGCTAACTTTGAACCGGCGAGCTGCCGATCCCCAGTACCTGGCTGTGGCGATGCTGCTGCCGTGCTGCCCCTACCAGCAGCACCACCACCGGAGGCTGGTGAAATCAAAACTCTACTCAGCAGCACGGAGCAGAGGGAGGCGGGAGAGGGGTCCTGCCCAGCCCAGGCTGCCGCCACCCCCGTCACCCGCCCCGAGGGGACAGGACAGGGAGCCCCCTCCTGCCACTAGTGGGTGTGCGAGGGGGGAGGGGCGCTTACGGGAGTTTGAGCAAGTGCGAGGGAGACGAGGCAGAGACAGCCGGCTTCTCACCTCGCCTGGCCTGGTCTGGTCTGCTCGGCCCCCCCGGGCAGCCCCCAAAACTTGACCCCCTTAACCCTGACCCGCGGGCCGCCCACGCCCGGCTGCTTCACCCCATCCTGAGGCAAAGTACAGGCACCGCCACCAACACGCCCACGCCCTGGCCCCCCGCCTCGCTCTCTCGGGGCGAGGAGGAGGAGGAGGCCACGGCCGAAATCCCTACGACCCGCTCGCTGCAGTAAATTGAGACAACCAACCTGTTTGCAAGTCCCCGACAAAGGAGGAAGAGGGGGTTGCTTCAGATTACGTTTGATGACGGTGCGCGCTACGGCCCCAAAAGGGAAGGAGGGCGCGATGGGAGTGGGAGGGCGAGCGGAGGGGGGAGGACCTTTGAACCTGTGAGACGGTCGGAGGCGCTGGCTGCTGGACGTACCCAGAGGACGGGCGGGCACAGCGCAGCAGAGCCAACCCTTTCCCTTCGCAGACTACGCTTTTGGTTGGTACCCTGGCCTGCGCTACAGAAGGTAGATGGGACAGGTCGTTGGAGGTAACGGGGGCGCCGCGGAAAAGGGCGTCTTCTTGGAGGCAGCAGGCGCCCAGGAGGAGGAGGAGGGGGAGGCCAGGATGTGGCTGTGGGGAGGAAACGCGCATGGCGCACCAGCTTGGTGGAGGGCAGGGGGTGAGGGGTAAGAGGCGGGAGGGGGCAGGGGTTACAACAACGCGGGAATGAGCTGGTGCGGGGTGTGCGCCCATACACGCACTCACGCACTGCGAGAAGTAGGATGCCACTGGCTGTGAGCACAACACACACTCACACCCCTAGCCGGGTTTGCGCACCGCGGCGGGGCCGCGCATCCACCTGGCAGAGCCATCCTAATGAACTGCAGCGCATAGCAGCAGCAGTTTGTAGGAACACAGGCGAGTTAGCGCGCCCACCCCACGTCTCGCAGTGTGCGAGTGTTGCTGATGAGCAAGGGGGGCCGGCATTCTGCACCGACGCCTCCAACCTGCTCCTGCTCCGACCTCCATGGCCAGAGGGAATGCCAAAATTTACAGATGTTGTTTGCGACAAGCAGTAACCCATCTGCCGTCATAACACGTGGACTTGGGGTAGACTTATTGGGGAAGTGCATTCTGACGTCGCCGAACTACGTGACTATATACTCACCGCCGTTGCTGACGTGGGCCGGGCCGGACAGGGTGCGCTCGCGCGCCGCGCCGCCGACGGCCCGCAGCGTGGTGGTGACCGTCAGCCCGTTGAGGGTGAGCGTCCTCGAGGAGCGCGTCGTGGTGAGCGTCATGACCCCCCTGCCCGCGCGGGGTCGCGCGCCCGCGCCGGGCCCGGGCCCTGGCGGCGGCTCCCAGGGCTCCCAGGGGTCCCACAGGTCCGAGGACGGCATCGCCATCCCGCGCCCCGCACCGCGTCAACGGCACTGCAACAGAAACAG